ATCTTTGTTTCAATTAGATGACAAATTGGTTAATACAGTTATATCGAGTTTTTTTATATGCTTAACAGTCGCATGCCTCCAGATGAGCAAAAATAATTCAAGAAAAATCAAACTTGATAAAAAAAGTAAAAAGATTCAAGATTCTGGAGGCATGCTGCTTTGAGATATTTTTCAACACTACACTTTCCGTACATCTGTTCTGAATTCAAAAAAAAATGTGTCATCAATTTTTCTCGACAGTGCCAGGAACTCACTTTATAACAAGATATTGTTTAATAATTACTTTGATAATTGTCCTATTTTGTTATTTACCTATATTTTACACAAGTGTTACAATTTTATAAAGGAAATATTGAGAACAGGAGACCTTTATTACAAGTTTGACCTTAATGATTTCACTCATTCTTTTATTGTATGATACCTTAGTGAAAAAAAAACTATTCTTTATTATTTGACTGTATATATTCTGCCAGAGACTTGTATATGAACAAATATTGACAAATATGCTTCAAAGGAAATTAACATTTTTTACTCTGACATAAACGAACATATATTTTATCTGACATAAACGAACGTTTTTATTTGGGGAAAAAACGAACATATTTGGATCTGACATTAAAAAAGCTTACGCTTGTAATATGGTGGTGATGGGACTTATTCTATTTCGTTCTGTCTAAGTAGATTCTATAATAGATATATTGTATCTAAATGATATATTAGGAAGTTGCATAACGAATAGGGACAATTTGTGTTACATCGGTCCACGTCTCACGTGCTCTTGCCAAACCATTTTTTTTATAAGTGATATAACTATCGTTAAGAGGCAACTAAATGGGTTCGAATTTTTATTTGAGTCTAAGCATGTCTTAGCTCCAGCAGGTGGGATGGTTTTTATCCCTTGTGTACAAAATGATCTTTCCTTTTTCAGTGCCATATGACCTAAACTGTGTTAGTGAGCCGTAAACTAAACAAAACAAATCAAACTCAGACCACCATAATCTAATACCCTTTTGTACGAGTAATAACCCATAAGTATCAATCTGCTAACCTTATTATGACTTTCATATATATTTAATTTAATCATGTAAATTTGATAAAATTATTTAGAACAATCATATGCATATCATGATTTTAATGATACTCTATAATAGAACTAAAGAATGTTTCAACAAGTTTGATTATTGCAGAGCGGTGTAGGAGCACATTTGTCTCGTAGCACATTTGTCTTACGAAGTGTGACCGATGTGTTCGTAAACATTCATATTTGCGACAAATTGGAAATGAGACGGATGTGTTTGACACACAATAGAAAGGACACTCGAAGCACATTTGTCTCACATTTTTCCATAAAATTCTTAAAAGGTAATAATTATGCCCATCTGTATACAAGCTACCAGCCATTGTTTTGTGTTTTGTGTATTTATAATACAGTTTTAGGTCACTTCCGGTCAGTCAAAAACGTCCTGCCTCTGCATAGGAGTCATATATTAAATTTAAGAATATCCCTGTTCGCATGTCACAATGAAAAATTTATACAAGTGCAGCATCCAGAACCTAAAACCACATATGCAGCAAGTCTATCTGATCGTTATTAATTGTAATGCTTTTATTTCAATGCTTAAAGTCTCATAAATGATTTATGGCACTAGAAATATTCTTAGCAAAAACAAGGAAGTATCTACGGTGGCATAAATGGGACATATAATTTTCTTATTGATTACGTGCGCAAACGATAGCTTTAACGTGGCCACACACGATACTATTACGTGCGCACGCGATAGCTATTACGTGCGCACGCGGATATGTATTCCGCATTTGGACCCTGACCGGGATCCTCGCATGAATGGTTCGATGCCCCGTGTATGTGTCGAAACTACAGCGGTTAGTGGCAAGTGGTTTTTTGAAATCACTCGGCCACGAAGGCCCTTAAATGATCTATGGAAGAAAATAAGGAGACCATTACACACGTATTTTGTTTTCATCAGAAATATAATTATGTATAAAAATCGTCATTTTCCAAGAATTGCGGCTTTCAGATCCGCCATTGAAAAAGCACTTACAACATGCATGAGTTCCTAAAATACTCCGGGTAATGCCATAATTATGGAATATCTGGCCACTCAAAATCGGGCGAGACGCAACATGACACGAAGCGAGGCACGGTATTGTAACACGAGATCTCGCAATGTCGAAGCATCCCGTACCACGAGATTTCAGAAATGAATAAATTTTTACTTCTGTAGATAGGGCAAGTATGAATTTATTAATATTAAAATAATGATTTCTGAGGAAGTTATATGCTTGTAACCCAAAGAAAGTCGCGATAAATGTGAAATAATGCGTCATAAAAGTAGCAAAATGTGAACAAATTAGTATTTAGACTTCAATACAAAATTCTAAATCACTTCAACTATAAACTGCAAAAAAGCAGCAGATGAAAAAATGCTTCAGGTCATTAGCCAATGAGTAACTTTTTGGAGCTTTAAAAGTATACCAAAAATAAAAAGTTTTTGAGGAATACAAATAAAAGCACTTCTCAGGCATAATTAGCCTTTAAGAGATTGTATGTAGACTATCAAGGGAATACTATTTAGCGGTATATGACCTGGAATCAATTTCTTGTCTCGCGTCGACGAACGAGATGCGAAGCGAGACGAGAGATTTCGGCGAGATGCGAAACGAGTCACGATATTGTATCATTCAATATCAACCATTTACGGTGCTCCGTTTGAAATAAGTAACATTTTTGTCTCCCTGAACAGCTATGCACAATGGAACAAAGGTGAAATTGAGATGGTACGATGGTGAAATCACAATGATGCGTTGACACGATAGATAAAATAATATTGCGTTTTCATCATCATGCCATTACAGTTTCACCATATCGTACCATCGTATTTACACCATCGTAACATCGTCTTTCACCATAGTACCATCACGTTTTCATAATCGAGCCTTCGTTGTTTCACCATCGTACAATCGTTGTTTCACCATCGCACAATCGTTGTTTCACGTTTGTACCATTGTGTTTTCGCCATCGCACCATCGCGTTTTCATCAACGTACCATCGTGCCATCGCGCTGTCGCCATTGTACCATCGTGAACGGGATTTAGTATGTTTCAGTGTACGCCTTCAGGTTTAGCCAATCAATTTCTTGAAGAAGAGATATTATGATTAACAGTTCACTTTAGGTTTTCATAAAGAAAGCATAAACAAACCTACTGCTGATTACACTTGACATGAGGTAAAACGGCGAACCTCGATTATAAAAAAAGAGTTTCTGCCGTGGGGAAATATGTGACAAATAATTCATGAAAAATGACATGAGACAAATGTGCTTTCTTGTCCCTTAAAAACACATGAGACAAATGTGCTTTCTTGTCCCTTAAAAAACTTGATCGGAGCACATTTGTCACACAAATGAGTTTTTTGGGGCAGACATTTGAGATCCCATTTGTCTCATGTGGGACAAATGCGACCGCATCTGTCTTACGTAAGACAAATGTGCTCCGAGACAAATGTGCTCCTACAGAGCGGTCTGAAGATGACAGCATATATAACAATAAAGGATTTATATGCATTTATCGTGCATTTGAGTCTTTCTGAAGAAGCAAGAGTGCGCCCTCAGATCTCAAGCCCTCAGGCCGAGGGATTTAGTTTGTTCGAGGGAATCTGCAGATGTTAATAAACGAAAAAAGATGCATTACGCTAAAATTATTTGAATAAAACATTCTGATTGGCTTATACCGCGTTTCGTTTGTTTCTGCAAAAATAACCGGTTTCATGCTTTTCATGTGTAAGTGTGACGTCATTTGTTTGTTAAGTTTTTATAGTGATATATCTTTGCAGCCAGCTGTTTTTACATGGCGCCCCGAATCACATATATTTTACATGCTTCAACGGCACGTGCCTGCGTGCTTTAATCCGTTAACGGGTGTTTTCTTCTCCATTCTTGTGCATCTACATGCCCATTTTCATGCACGAATATCTATTTACACATCAAACATTTTCCTAATAATACACATGTTTGTAAGACAATACTCTAAAATTATTTATTGGTAATGCGACGATACTGGAAACATTCGTGGCGTGGAAATGAATATAACTGTAATATAAAGGATATATGAGATTTATAAAGACGGCCGATAAATATCAGGTCATACTGAAAGGAAAGAATATTAAAATAGCACTTTATATCTAAACTATCTCTTTTATAGACTTCAGTTAGAGACTTCAGTTATTCACCACCTGTTAGATGTAAATGGGCTAAAAGATTGACATTCAAAAAGACTGTTCATTTTATATCCAGCGTGGTTATGTATCTCTGCGTTAGGTCTTTGATGTTACGGACTTTGCCATTGGACCGCTATTGTGTTTTGCATATTATTTACCGGTAACTGGACTCAAATGAACTGAATGATTGGCATTTAAAGCATGTTCTTTTTATGACTATCACAACAAAAAAGTATTCAGATATATATATATATTACTTCCTCTTAAAATGACGGTTTAAAAGTAGTTATACGTCACTTTTTGTCAAACACTTGCTACAAACACTTATTTTATCAAGGTGACTCCATTCACTTGCGATATAGGAGGCTTCCAGATCCAAGACAGAACAAACTATTGGTTTACTTAAATATACATGTGAATATATTAAAACGTAATATGCACTGTTTAAATAATAAAAAATCAAATTAATATCTAAGAAATAACAACAGACTACATCATTTCAATTATTTCGGTAGCGCTTTCAATGGCCGAGTTTTGTTATAAGGATTAATTGTTTGCAACTGATCACAGTATTGTTTTGTCACATGATTATGGTGAATACTTCTTACTTTTTGTCTTAGTTTTATTATGTATTCTTCATTCCCCAAGAGATTTGTTTGTTCAGACAATTTATACATGAATTTTTACATATGTTTGATCCATTGTCAAATATTCTGAGATTTACTATTTTATTGTTTTTCTAACATCTTGCCTTATATATTTATAGACTGATTGAAAATCAGAAAGATCTGCTAAGACTTGACACCAGGGATTTACTTCCATACGTTTCTCTGGAAAAATTGTAAGTAATAAACATGGTGTATTAATAAAATAAGATACTTTTTGTTGTATCTCTAAATTAAGAACAGATATCACAAGTTCGAAGATTTATGATCTTAAAGAAAGTTATATGCTCTTAGAATTAGATGTTTATGTGTGTTAATAGTTAATTCAGTTGTTAAGATGTTTTTAAATGTCTCTCTTGGAAGTCCATGGTCGAGTGATTTAGTTCGTCGACTTCTATCCACTTGCGACTCACTACTGCAGTTCGAACCCCGCCAGGGAATTTGGATTTTTTCACGTCAAGTATATATATTTGTTACGCCTTCACATTTGTCATAAAAATACGGTTTTTTTTTTGTTTTTGTTTTTTCTCTCAGGAAATGTTAATGCGAAGTACAATGGAGATAGTAAAGTGTTGTTTCCTATAAATTGATTTATACTTAAGCAAGTCAAAATTGAAAATAACCAATACATTATATGCAAGTCAGAAAGTATTCGAGAAATAGGTTACAAAGCATAAATTTGCTATTCCGATTAGATGTAGTCGGAGGTGCATATATGCACGTCAATGAATGCGTATCCGTGACGTCACTACACGGCACGGCTCTAGCAATACAATGTTTGGAATACAGATAATCGATCAATGTGAATCTAGATATATGAAGATAAAAAAGACCGGTTTTTTAATGTATGTATTTACAAATCAGTATTACTGAATATCATATTGATTGAAAAAATAAAAAATAAAATAAAAATAATAAGACAGTGTCAGGAATATCGTCTGTGACAAATAAGAATCGATGTTTTTAGGCGTACGACCATCTTGTCCTTGTTAACAATGGTATACTTATTGCCGGCTGCAAAATTTAACTTATTTTCCGTATTGTGTCATAATCATACTATTTGTGTTCATAACAAGTATATATTTGAATTTCAGAACAATCCAGAAATGCGGACTGCGATATATATCTGTAGATATTTTCAAACACTATACCTACATTCCGTCAGTGTAAGTATACTCGTATTTTGCGACTATTGTATTGTTTTACTTAAGTAAAAGTACTATATATTTAAGTTAATTAAATTAAGTAAACTATAATATAAGAATATAAAAATCGTAACTTAGTTTTGAAAACCTCATTCCAAACAATTGCGAAAAATGCCATACCATACTGTCACACCCCCTAGCACCGCCCAGGACAGCGTACTGAAAGTAAGTCAGTGATAACTTTCCTGATTTATTTTTTTTTCACAAAATGAAAAAAAAAAAAGAAATGGTTTGACAAATATAAAGTCATATTTTTTGTAGTGATTATTTTTTATTAATTGAAAAAAATTTATAAGTTCAAAACGCTAATAAAGTTAATAAATTAATAAAGTAAGTGGCTGTGACATGTACATTTGCTACTGACTTAGAATAAGAGACGTTATCATTGTCGTCTGTTTTTATTGTATTTAAAAACCCACTTCAAACACATATAAAAGACAAAGGATAGACTTAAGTTAGATATGGAACATCTTGTTCAAATTTAATAATAAGTTTGTCTTGAAATGTTTGTAAATATGACAGAAACAAACAAAATCTATAAAATATTACAGTCAACAGTATTTCCCTTTCGTATTCGATACAGCCAATACTGTTAACTTGGAATCTGCATAATGTTTTGATTGTAGAGAAATTGTCAGTTTGATCTATAACTACGTTCTATCAAATTTTATCTGAAGAATGTTCCTTTTTACTGATTGTCACCAATTCTTTAATATCACATTTTGTATGTATATTATTGTAGCACATTTACACGAAAGACCGGTGGTGACATAACAACTTCATGAATTTACGGTTTTAACATACAGAATTCAAGAATCCACGATTTCAATTTCACGAGTTTACGATTTCAACTTCACGAGTTTACCATTTCAACATTACGAACTCACTATTGTAACTTCACAAATCAACGATTTCAACTTTACGAATTCAACTTCATGAATTCACATCTTGAACTTCACGATTTCAACTTTTTAAAGTTACGATTTCAACTACGTGGATCACGGTCTTAACTTCGTGATATACGATTTCAATATCGTGAGTTCGCGAAGTTGAAATAGTGAATTCACGAAAATGACCGGAATCATGAAGTTGAATATGCCTACCGGTCTTTTGTTTACAAATGTATCAATGAAAAAAATCCAAGTTTTCTTTTTGACCCCTTTAAAAGAAATAAATGTGTCAGTATTTCAGCATTATTTCGGACTGTAATTTTTAGTTCTTGCATATGCATTTTAAATGAATTTACAGGAAAACACGGTAGTTAACAATGAAACAATTCAGATGTAGACGGTTAACTTATTCTAAAACCTACTGTTTGTGTATATTTTTCTTGAATTGTTTATGATTTATGAAACCTTTGTTGTTGTTTTTTTGTTGTTATTGAAGTTCATACTGTTGTCATTTCGCCATTGCCGCTGGATCCTTGGTAGTTGTTTGTATTTGTTTTTTTTTAGCTTACCAGAACCGAAGGTTCAGGGTGAGCAATTAGTATCAAAGGGGGTGCTCCGGCGTCCGTCGTCATGCGTCAACAATCTTATTCTCTGAAACTTCTGGGCAGATTTACTTCAAATTTGGTCTGTAAGATCCTTGTGACAGTCATACTTGAATTTGCTCTTGTCATTTCAATAGGCCCCTTTTAGGGGTCAACAGAGCTAAAAATAGAAAAACCTTTAAACATCTTCTACTAAAGAACAAACTGATGGATGATCACCAAACTTTGTAGCATTCTTGGTTAGTCTTTTATCAATTTTGCTCATATTTATTTGATTGGCCCCTTTTAGGGGCTGCTAAAAATAAAAATAGAAAACTTTTAAACATCTTCTACTACAGAACTAATTGACGAATGATCACCAAACTTTGATTATAGCATTCTTGGGTACACTTTTATCAAGTTTGCTCATATTAATTTGATTGGCTCCTTTTAAGGGCCACTAAAGCTAAAAAAAACCTTTGAACATCATTTCCTACTGAAATAATTGATGGATGATCACCAAACTTCGTAGCATTCTTAGGTAGTCTTTTATCAAGTTTGCTCATATTAATTTGATTGGCCCCGTTTAAGCTCCAGGTCATGGCATTTCTTCAAATTATTGTTTAAACATATTCTTTGCTCAAATTTAATATTAGAAAATATTGACAATGGATAATTCCCAACACTGAAAAGCAGTTGTTTCTGGTGAGCGACTCAGTGCCATCATGGCCCTCTTATATAAGTTTATTGTGGGTTTTTTTTTCAGTCTTTTGCTTGTTTTATTTATGTTTTTATGGAAAAACAATATTATTTTGTTTGAATTTTGTCTGCATGAAATTCCAATTAACTCCTATATTTTTTTGTCTATAGAAACCTTGCAGAGAACCAGCTTAGTTACCTGCCGTGGAAAATAGTCGCCATTACTCCTACATATTTGTAAGTTTATTTCTGAAATTATTATTAAAACCAAACCTTTGAACGCAATTTTAATAAATGTGTCTGATATTGCGGTAGAACCAAGGTGTGTTTTCATCAAAATTGTTAGAAAACGAGGTTTAGATTACGGTATAAAATATATGTCATAAAGTACTCTTATTTTAATTGTTTTCTACTATACTAATTTCGTTCCCACGTTATACTTACTCGACATAGTATAATTATGAAAATGTCAAGCTGAAAATAAAGAAAAGCTAATAAGAAAAGAAGAAAAAGAATTGGGATTGTGCGTATGATTATTTAATAAAATGTAGAAAACAAGATCTACAAGGAAGGCGACATTCAATGAACGCTTGCCCAAACACATGACTACCTCCAACAAAGACTTTGAAAATTCTTTGAATGACTAGGCAAACAAAAATTATAACTATAATATATTACATGAATTATAAATGAAAACCCAAAAGAAAGTTTATGAACAGAAAGATTGGAAAGGTTGCAGGCTCGGTTCGATTAAGCCTGTTCATGGAAGATTAGCGGAAACGCCAGTCTTTCATTCATGTCCTCTAGCACCGACTTTAGCAGAAATTCACATTTATATATAAAAATGGTAAAAATTCGAATTCAGAAACATCAGTAGATATGCTTTGTTAGTAACGACTTCTTATAAGCACTTACATATATATATATATATATATATATATACCGATAAAATATAAAATTTTATTACTTTTATTGAATTTCAATCAAGTTTATTCCACAAGAATATAATTTTAATATATTAAAAAATGTTTTGCTCTGTAGAAATATACAAGGGAACCCGCTGGTTTGCAACTGTAGCGTGTGGTGGATAAAACAGGCTTTTAAGAATAACTGGTTAACCGGAAGTAAAAACACTTTATGTTCCGATGGCAAACCAGTCGCTGAAGTAGATTTACCAGACTGTGGTGAGGTTAAAATACTTTATGTATTTTTGTATGCTAAACTAGTCGAAGTTTTTTTTTGTGTTGCAAGTTGATATCACATGAACGTCTAAAAATAGAATTGGTTGAAATTTTACAGACTTATTTGAGAGCACAATTGGAGGTCACCCTCCAAAGCCTGCAACTCTAACATGGTTTTTGACAGAAAAATGGCATTTTTTTACAACTCTTGTTAAATTATATGCAAAAAACATCATACTTTATAAAGGTATGATAGATTTAATTCAAACAAGCACAATTTGTATAATTATCTAGATTATAACTTCAAATAATTAGTATGACCTCGTCATTCTATAGCTTTAAATAAGATTATTTTGTTTTTCTTGATTATGACGACACACATTTTTACATAAATGCTTACTACTTCCTTTAGGTCCACCAACAGTAACTATTGATCCACCTGTGCTAGAGCTAAATGAAGGGGAAAAGGCCACAATTCTGTGTTCTGGAGGTGGTACTCCTCAACCGCGCGTGTCTTGGAATATTTCTGACGTCACTTCCAATCTAACACTGACGTCATCTGAAGACGGTCGGGTTCAAAAACTGGTTATAACTAATGCTAGTATTTGAAGATAATGGAAATATATCGTGTGTTGCCGAAACGAGGCTCTGACGAGGAAAAATGTCGTCCAGCTTTATATCAGAGGTTTGTCTCTATATCAGGAAATATACTGTTATTTGTTTTTGCTGGTTGCTTAGCAACTATTTAAAACAGTTTCGTTGGAAACATCGCAATTCTTGCTAATTGACCACTAATTGGTATCGTTATCTTTTTATTTCTTTACTATCCATGAAAAAAATACACTTGTATGAATATATAAAAACCAAATCGCCTTCACTTAGGGTTAAGTTCTATGTGGGGAAAAATAATCCCTCGCAGTATCATATGATATAGCAAGGACAGCTGTTTATATGTTTTGTTATTTATCACTTATTGTTATGCCATTCGACAATGCACTTGAAATCAAATTTCCTAATCAAAGTTATACTAATCTCAGTACATTTCTTGGTCAAACACTAAATATAACAAAGAACGTGTCACTATTCTCTTCTTATGTTTTCAATTAAAGATAATAATCCAGCACTGTAGTACGAAAGCCTAATAGTGTCAAATGAAATAAAAGATAAAAATGCAAAGGCGTTATAACGCGAATAAAGGCATTATTACGCGAATCAAAAGGCGTAAGAACGCGAATAAAGGCGTAGCAACGCGAATCAAAAGGCGTAAGAACGCGAATAAAGGCGTAGCAACGCGAATAAAAAGGCGTAATAACGCGAATAAAGGCGTAGCAACGCGAATAAAGGCGTTATAACGCAAATCAAAAGGCGTAATAACGCGAATAAAGGCGTTATAACGAGAATCAAAAGGCGTAGTAACGCCTTTATTCGCGTTATAACGCGAATCAAAAGGCGTAGTAACGCAAATAAAGGCGTTATAACGCGAATAAAAAGGCGTAATAACGCGAATAAAGGCGTAATAACGCGAATCAAAAGGCGTAGTAACGCGAATAAAGGCGTAGTAACGCGAACCAAAAATGCGTAATAACGCAAATTAAAACACATTTATAATACCAGTTTAATACCATATTTATATACTAATCAATTCGCGAGAAGGAAGACCAATATTGATCTGAATTTATTGCTCAAGATATAAACTCGTATACAATATACAATATACCATTTAACACATAACTTTCATTCTATTTGCACAGTAATTATGCAAACTATTTGTTATAAACTAATAAAGACTCTTTAATATTTGCCAATATAAGATGACTTGGTGACTTATAGGTTATAAAGTATTACCTCCTTCAAATAACAATCCTCCTACGAAGTTTGAATATTGTGGGCCAAATGGAACTTACGTTATGCTCCGAAACCAAATTGCTTACGGACGGACGGACGGACAGACAGACAGACGGACGGACGCACGTTCCAACATTTGGGTTTAGGGGCTATTTCTTTTGTTATTTTCTTTGTTCTCTTAAGGGCTACTAGCCCATAAACCGTTTGATCACGGATTAAACCTATTGTTCTCTTTTGTTCTCTTTACTGTTATATAGCCCCTAAACCAAAATGTTTGCTCGGACGTACGGACGCCAGGGGGTATAACATAATATGCCCGAAATTCTTTCGGGCATATAATAAAACGTACATCTAGATCAATTCATTTAAATCAACATTGTTCTCTTCCTTCCATACATTAATAGGCCACTGTTTGGAATTTATATGGTATTAAAATTAGCGTTATAACGCCTTTTGTTTTGCGTTATTACGCCTTTTGGTTCGCGTTATTACGCCTTTTGATTCGCGTTATAACGCATTTATTCGCGTTAGTACGCCTTTTGATTCGCGTAATTACGCCTATTGTTTCGCGTTATTACGCGAATAAAGGCGTTATTACGCTTTTCAATTCGCGTTATTACGCCTTTTGGTTCGCGTGACTACGACTCTGTTCGCGTTATAACGCCTTTGTTTCGCGTTATAACGACTTTATTCGCGTTGCTACGCCTTTTTCGCGTAATTACGCCTTTTGATTCGCGTTATTACGCCTTTTGATTCGCGTTATTACGCCCTTTTGATTCGCGTTATAACGCCTTTATTCGCGTTGCTAACCCTTTTTTCGCGTAATTACGCCTTTTGATTTGCGTAATAACGCCTTTATTCGCGTTGTTACGCCTTTTTTCGCGTTGCTACGCCTTTCGATTCGCGTTGCTTACGCCTTTTGGTTCGCGTTACTACGCCTTTAGTCGCGTAATCACGCCTTTGTTTCGCGTTATAACGCCTTTATTCGCGTTGCTTACGCCTTTTTTCGCGTAATTACCCTTTTGATTCGCGTTAATAACGCCTTTTGATTCGCGTAATTACGCCTTTTGATTCGCGTTAATACGCCTTTTGATTCGCGTTAATACGCCTTTTGATTTGCGTTATTACGCCTTTATTTGCGTTGCTACGCCTTTTTTTTCGCGTTGCTACGCCTTTCGATTCGCGTTGCTATGCCTTTTTGGTTCGCGTTACTACGCCTTTATTCGCGTTGTATAACGCCTTTGTTTCGCGTTATAACGCCTTTATTCGCGTTGCTACGCCTTTTTTCGCGTAATTACGCCTTTTGATTCGCGTAATTACGCCTTTTGATTCGCGTTATTACGCCTTTTGATTCGCGTTACTACGCCTTTATTCGTGTTATTACGCCTTTGTTTCGCGTTATAACGCCTTAATTCGCGTTGCTACGCCTTTTTTCGCGTAATTACGCCTTTTGATTCGCGTAATTACGCCTTTTGATTCGCGTTACTACGCCTTTATTCGCGTTATAACGCCTTTGCATTTTTATTTTTTATTTCATTTGACACTATTAGGCTTTCGTACTGTAGTAATTGTGAACATTTTTTTAAAAAACTAGGGCAAAAGATTTGCCCGAATAATTTGATTCTTTAAAGAATTTATTGTGCCTTATCGATTTTCCCCGCTTCTGACTAAGGGGTTGGTTTTTAATGGTTGTGGCATAAGAATTGCAGCCAACATTTATCACTAAATAGGTTCAAAATATTGGATTCTATGCGTCTCTTAGCTCCAACTTGCGCCATATGACATAAATTGTGTCGGGGTACGCCGTACAACCAAACCTTATCGATTTATCGTCTAGCTGTTAAATATAACAAATAATATACGCGCATTATTTTTCTTAATCAGTTGTAATAGAAATGATCATAAAATACAAATCTATTGACCTTTATTTAAGGTGCTCCAATAATTAAGGAAATGCACGTGACAGACGGGTTCTACACGTGCATTCACTACACGATCATCAGTTATCCCGAGCCAACTTTAAAGTGGTTTAACGACGGACAGCCATTAACAATTTTAGGAGACGATGCCTCCATTGAACACAAGCCTAGAACACTTGTTGGAAGTATAGCCAATGGTATATATGTTGTTATATGTAAAAATGAACGAAGAAGATAGTAAAGATTTTTTCATCAATATTAACGTTATTTTATAATTTTAAAGTGAATTGGTCTGTACTGGAATGCCTGTAATACTATATATAATGATGTTGATGGTATTTGTATCCGACATAACAACAAACCACGACAAAATTATATACATGTATGAATGTTGTTGTCAAATAAGAGATACATTACATCTATTTGAAATTACATAATTGAGCCGCGTCACGACAAAACCAACATAGTGCGTTTGCGACCAGCATGGATCCAGACCAGCCTGCGAATCCGAGCAGTCCTATCAGGATCCATGCTGTTCGCTATCAGTTTCTTAACTTGTAATAGAGTGTGTAAGCGAACAGCATGGATCCTGATCAGACTGCGCAGGCTGGTCTAGATCCATGCTGGTCGCAAACCCATTATGTTGGTTTTGTCATGACGCGGCTCATATATATGAATATAGCAGAAAATGAATTGTTCTAGAACAGAAAAATATTAACATCATTTTCATAATGTTCATACAATTAGAACTTTATGTACACTTTTTATCATACAATATTTTATAACAATGTCTGAATAATACATTTCTATTGTTTGCATTAATGTTTGAAATACACAATGATATGGGACATGTGTCCATTGTAGACAACATCACTTTAAACGTTTAAATCAACATTTGTTAATTTATAAAAGCCAGCCTTAATTTTTGTAATGAAAAATTTCTATCTTTGCCCTTTATATATAATTGCTTCGTTTTGTCGATGAATAATCGCTAGAAATTATACAATGTATTACAAGATGATATTAGAATACAATCTGTTTGTTGCTTTTTATTCAGACACCAGACAAAGGTTAATTAGAGGGTGCCTTTCCTTCAAAATGGTAAATTTTCTACACAACGGAAATTACACTCTGGTTGCACTGAATGAACTTGGGTCAGCAAATAGGAGTATACGGTATCACAAACAAGTCCCTCGTAAGTAGTCACGTGTCTTGTCTGTGTCTGTGTCCAAATGCACGTGAGTTATTTGTCACGTGAGTTATTTAGCACCTGAGTAATTTAGCACGTGAGTTATTTAGGACGTAAGTTACGGACCATAATGAGCATGTATGGGAGCTGGCATATTGCTGCATTCCTTTTTTCTCAAATAATAGGTTAGCGACAAATTAAGAAACACCGTCCCACATGATAAAAACGTACTGAAATAGGTAACACGAAAACTGTCAGAAAAAAATACCGATTGAGGTTTTATCACGATTTATACCCAATGGAAGTTGATATTAAGCGATTAAAGTATGGATAATCCTTAAAGATTAAGAACAAGGCGACTTCCACACAGAAAGCTGCCCCGGCATTAACCAGATACACCGTCAAGGCGCCCTACTAGGCACCGTACACCGTCCATGTACCAAAAATTTGCAGATGTCAAAAGTGCCGGGAAATGAGGAAATGAAACGTAACTGACGATTGCAAGGCATAGAAAATTGTTCTGATTCTAAATTTGTAGAAATTTATTTGTAATTGTTTTTAATACAATATCAGATTGAAATGGGCTGTTTATTTGACTTATTCGAGACATGATACGGTATTGTATCACGTGAATGCATGTTGTATAAATTAACGTACTATCTGACTTCTACATGACATTTCATTTTACAAATACGTTTCCGATATGTCCGTTGTCATAAACTCTTAGGAACATATATACTTAATCATACAAATTCTGCGAAATCTAGTCTATTTTTGATTTCACTACGCTTGGGAGACATTTCTGGTTCCTAACACAATTTCCAAGTTACAATAAATGAGTATTTGATGTGTGCAGAGTACATTGTGTTTTGAATCGTTTGTCTTTTCTAATCTTACATTACCAATATTTATGTCTTTACAGACGTGTCAGGGGGTCGAGTTCATTCAGGTGGTAGCTTCAATCTTAATCCTTTTGTTCCAACAACAAATGAGGACGATGGGAATAGTTCAGTCGGTAAAATAAAACACGAGCAGAAAGAAGATAAAAACATCCAAGTAAGAATTTATAAATTCGCCAAGTTCACTGATTTTAGAAAAACGCATTGCAACGTTTTTCTCTCAAACCGAGCTAAGAACAGTCCAAAAAATCATTTTCATTTTGAGTTTTCAGATTTAAGATTTGAATTATGTGTGAATTTCAAATTTTATGTGTTCAGGATGGGGGGGGGGGGGGTTCCTTTGAAAAAGTATTTATCATTCTATTTTTATTCAGATATATATCATCATTGGTGTTGGTGTGATCCTCTTTGCCACTACCATGATCATCTCTAGCCTGTGTTATATAAAGTTTAAGAGACTCGATCCGAAGAGGTTTGCTAGAGATGTGGGGCCCCATTCTCCACATAACCACGAAAGCATGCCACTCACGTCGTACCAGATTGTGGAAAACCTCAATTATTGTAGTAAACCTGATTTTCTAGATTTAGGTACAAAGATTTTTAAAAAATGTTTTTTTAAAAAAATGCAAAAAATAAAAATAAATTAAATTCTCAAAAACTAAGTCATGTAAGTTTATTCTTAAAGTTACAATGGTACTATTGTCAATAAAATGACTTTTCTGCAATATTTAAAAGTTTTCTATTTACTCAAATCAATCTGATTTTTATTATTATCAACATAGAAACAGTGCTGAAAAACTTTCTAACCGTCTCTAACAATACGTGAAAATTGAATAAACTTTAAAAAGATATTTTAGATTTGTAGACTAAATAAAGTCATTTTTCATGCATATGTATCTTTCATATTTTTGTATATATGCATCTTCCATATTTTTGTTCCATTTTATTTTTAAATTTTACAGCTATTAACCATATACGTCCCGAGTTTGTAAGCTGCATTGAGCCACTTGGCGAAGGTGCCTTCGGAAGGGTATATCTTGGTCGGTGTGAAAACATGCCAAAGGAAGGTGAAAATGTAATGGTTGCTATTAAAATGCTCAAAAATGATATGACAGAAGATTCACTAAAAGACTTCGAAAGAGAAGCTGAAGTGCTTACAAATATGGATCATAAAAATATAGTGACATTTTATGGTGTCTGTGTGCAGGAGGACACCTGTATGATGATATTTGAATATATGCAGAACGGCGATTTAAATAACTATTTAAGGTAAGATAGACAAGGTATCTGATGTCCATTTTCTTGCTAACAAAGAATATTTTTAATTTAATGTTCGCGAACAGATTTATATGAAATGTTGAATAAATAAGACATAAACACAAATTATGACACAGAACTCTTTTTCTGTGACTTTTGCTATTTTTTATGATTACATTTTTTTAGATGAGTCTACTTATTCGCCATCTTGCTCCTGAAAAAATGCACGGAGGGTCACCTGAGTTTTCCTCCACCTGTTAAGTTGGAAAGTAGCCATATGACTTTATGCTGTGTTGAAGTGACGTAAAGCCAACATTAAAAAAAAACAGACGAATATGTCCATGTAATATTTAATTGAGATATTTCTGAAATTGAAGCTTATTTCAAACAAATTTATTACTTTTATGTACTTTGTATTAAGTTTTCAAAACTTTCTTCCAAACCTTCTTACTCTTTTCTACACATATTATCTAGTTTCTCATGCTTAAATTTGCATCTGCTCATTGATTACTTTGATAGTAATGAAAATAAAATGAAAAATACGATGAAAATATTTATTTCAACGACTTTGGGGAAAATCTAAAACAATCAGTTTGTTTGACAAACTTTCTTTTGCGACTTCATCTACACAATTGTAATCATTTTGCAGAACAATCTCAGCATGGAATTTCTGTGAATGATTAAAACCGTAGCGTTTGTAACTGTCGAAAATTCGACATGCTTTGTTTCATTTTACGCCTTTTCCCAACAGTATTTCAGTCATATAGGCGGGTAGTTTCCTTACCATCGTTCCTGGAGAGTTACACCAGTCATAGACTACCTTCTTCCACGCTAAACTACCAAAGCATTTCCCGGGGATCGAACCCACGACAGAGAGGTAAATGGATTAGAAGTCATCGACTCTAACCCCTCGACCACGGAGGCGCTTTCGACATGCTATGTTTTAGAAAGCATAATCCTCATGCATTTATATTTGGTTAATTTTACAAATGATTTGTTTCAGAAAACATGGTCCTGGCCTATCTATATTTAGTTAGCTTTAAAAATCTGTGTTTCAGAAAATATTGCCCCGACGCGTCAACATTTGGTCTTCTTTAAAAAAAAATTGTTTCGGAAAACATGGTCTTAACATATACATATATTTAATTTGATTAACTTTAGACGTGATTTGTTTAAAAAAATCATGACTCTGACGCATCTATATTTGGTTAATGTTAAAAATGCTTTGTTTCAGAAAACATGGTCCCAACGCATCTATATTCATTTGAATTTTAAAATAATTTGGTTCAGAAAACATGGTCCCAATGTATCTATATTTGATTAACTTTAAAAAAAAGCTTTGTTTCAGAAAACATGGTCCCAATGTATCTATATTTGATTTACTTTAAAAAAAAGCTTTGTTTCAGAAAACATGGTAATAATATATCTTTATTTGATTTACTTTAAAAAAAGCTTTGTTTCAGAAAACATGGTAATAATATATCTTTATTTGATTTACTTTAAAAAAAAAAAGCTTTGTTTCAGAAAACATGTTCCTAACGCAACAATTTTGTGTTAACTTTAAAACATGTTACTGATGCATCTACGAGTATATTTGAGCCGTGTCACAACAAAACCAAGATAATGGGTTTGTGACCAGCATGGATCCAGACCAGCCTGCGCATCCGCGCAGTCTGATTAGGATCCATGCTGTTCGCTCACAAACCCTATAACAAGTAGAGAACCTGATAGCGAACAGCATGGATCCTGATCAGACTGCGCGGATGCGCAGGCTGGTCTGGATCCATGCTGGTCGCAAACCCACTATGTTGGTTTTGTCGTGACACGGCTCATTTGGTTATTTTTAGATTTGCTGAATTTAAGATTTTTTGCTTTATTTCAGAAAACATGGTCCTGATGCATCTATATTTGGTAATCTCCGTCCCAATTCCATGTTAAACGAGTCAGATTTACTTCACATAGGTGAGTAAGTGTTACATATAGTAGTATATAGTATGACGTTTCATTCTACTTTAATGATTTACATTCCCTTGTGGTTGTCTTTAACGATTGAGGCATAAGAATTGCAACCATCCTTTATTCCTGCGTGATCGCAGAAGGCGACTAAATGAGTTCGAATAACTTGAATCGAGGCATTTCTTAGCTTCAACAGGTAAGGTGGTTTAAAAACCTGGTGTTGGTTTGAAGTTTGTATCACACGAGGCTTTGCCAGATCCATTCTTCCTTTTTCGGTGCCATATGACTTGTGTTGGTACGCCGTAAAACGAAACAAACAAACAATGTTTTACATCTTCCAAAGACTGTTAAGTCTCTACATCTTGAAAAATAGTCAAAGTATTTACGTCATACCCAAGTACAAAGTAAATAAAAATGATGACAACAAACACGGCATAAAAATTGTTCAGACTTGGCTTGATCAAACCCTGTAACATTTCAATTTTGCCCTTTTTGCGTTCTGTAATATTTCCATTTATGACTATTTGAGGTTTTAGATACATCATATGATTCTATTGAAAGTAAAGAAACATTTGCAGATATGCTCTTAACCTTCTACGCACTATTCCATCATTTTCGTCCGTGTTTAGTTTGTCTTTATTGCTTCTCTTTTCTGTTTCAAGTCGCTTGATTCATCTAGCAAATAATACTGTGGTATCTATACGAGACATGTCATTAAAGATATAAGCTTTGCATAATTGGTCTGGTCTTCGAAATAGATATATATTATTACTTGACTTCACAAGACTATTGTACGATCGTTAGTCTTAATCAAGCTATAATAATATCCGTATAGAATTAGTCATTAATATTTCAAGGAGCGACCAGGATGCAAATATTCCTTAATTACACTTCATAGTTCAGAAACCTTCACAACTTGAATAAGTAATATTTCCATACTCAAAATAATAGTCGATGGTGATGGAATCGATGAATATGTTTGATTACGATGCCAAAGGATAAAAATGATTCCAGGAAATACCACGTATTACTTTTAAGCACTATTAAGTATTGAGAATTGAGTACCGCTCAAGCCGGTGCTAGGGAGATTGGTGAGGGATGTTGCACTTTTTCATTATCCCTCATGTATAGACTCAATCAAACCGGGTCTGCAATTTTCATGTAATTTTGTTGTGATTAATTCTTCCAAAGGGATCACTTTGTTTCCAGATTTTTAACATCTTATTGATATAGACTACCTCTTGCAATGGGCACTACTAGTTAATATAGCAGGCACGACAGTAAGGTTGAAATTTGAATACATCTTAGAAAATTATGAAGAATATTTACAAGAACGTGTTTATTTTTTTGTAGATATCTTATAATTAAATGTCAAATTTTCAGGTTTGCAGGTCGCTGATGGAATGTCATATTTAGCATCACACCATTTTGTTCATCGTGATTTGGCGACAAGGAATTGTTTAGTAGGAGATTCGTTAGTTGTCAAAATAGGAGACTTCGGGATGTCACGTGATATTTATAGTACAGATTATTATAAGGTAATGACGTCATCAGTTATGTTGTATAAAATTAAGTTGTAATATTTTGGCCCTGCATGACTTGTTTTGCTGGTTTACACCTTGAAAATACTCATACATTTTATATATTTGAAAAAGAAGTCAAAGCATTTTCAATTTAAGTTTAAAAATAAACATTCATTTCTTTTTTGAAACAGATGCCAGTTTATTTGCACATAATAGTTTGAAAATAAATAAACATTTATACTTTTTGAAACAGAAGTCAGTTCAGTTGCAAATTATAGTTTGAAAATATATAAACTTTAATATGAATCGTTCAGGGGCGTCCGTGGCCAAATGATTTAAGTCGTTGACTTCAAATCACTTGCCCCTTACTGCTTCAATGGACTTTGAATTATTTCATGTCATTATGTTATCCAGCTAGCTTATGGAACGTCATTGCATCTACTGAGTATGTAGACTTTATATGAGTTCGTTGTTTGTATCAAAAGTTTAATGATTTGAGCCGCGCCATGACAAAACCAACATAATGCGTTTGCGACCAGCATGGATCCAGACCAGCCTGCGCATCCGCGCAGTCTGATCAGGATCCATGCTTTTCGCTTACCAACCCTATTACAAGTAGAGAAACTGATAGCGAACAGTATGGATCCTGATCAGACTGCGCTGATGCGCAGGCTGGTCTTGATCCATGCTGGTCGCAAACCCATTATGTTGGTTTTGTCATGACGCGGCTCATTTATTTTCTAGGTTGGCGGAAGCGTCATGTTACCAGTAAGATGGTTGCCCCCAGAATCATTATTATATCGTACATTTACCATAGAATCAGACATCTGGAGTTTTGGGGTGGTGTTGTGGGAAATTTTCTCATATGGGAAACAACCATGGTTCCATTTATCGAATCACGAGGTGAGATTTTTACTCTGTCGGTTTCATATACAAGAACAGTGCTATTTTATTTACGATAATTATTGTATGCAGTGTGTTAAACGAACATTGAGGTCAAAATGTCTAAAAACAAAAAAAAATTCTAACACATCTATCAAGTATAGCACTTAAAACAGAAAAATAAGCAACTGATACTTATATACTCATAATTAATCTGAATATCCATTGTGTGTGATTCTTAGCCCGATTTGAGTAGAATGCGTTGCAACGCTTTACATTTTTGAGTCACTTTGCACAGTGAAAATGATCATTCTTGAAAAATTGGGCGAGGGAATAAACAAGTTATTGGTCCAGACCTACATCAAATTGTACACAAATCTTGGAAAAAATATTTTCAGTCCCATTGTGTCAAAAAAATTAAGTAGACTCACTGTAACGAATGCAATAAATATTAAAACCAAAACTGTTTTTAAACTGATTTTAAATGATAAGTACATGCTATGCAATTATAAAAAAGAAATGAATTGATGGTGTAATTACTGTGATAGTGATAACTTTTACATTACATTCAAATCAGTTCAAATATCAAAAAGTGAATGTAACATATTTATAATTAATTAAATTAATTTAGTTTAGGGGCTACATTGTACGTTTCACATAGGGCCATTATGATTATGTTTTTATACATAATTTCAAAAAGGACAACAATATAATCTGAAGAAATATGAATTTTAAAAACACTCAGAAAAACTTCAGTTACAAATATATGCATGTATAATTGGACATGAAAATTTTGTACATTTTTATTTTTTCTTATATTAGTATTCTGAAAATATCATTTGTATGTTTCAAATTACCCGGTTCTTTTAAAGGTCATTCAGTACATTATAGACGGACATCTGCTGGACTGCCCAGCAACTTGCCCGGAAGAGGTTGGGAAAATAATGATGAGCTGTTGGAAGAGACAGCCCCAGGAACGTATGGCAATGTCTGTCATTTACAAACATTTAGAAAGACTGTCTATGCTGAGTGACGTGTCTTCAGGTCAAACGCCACCAGTGTTTGGCTGTCAGGTGTAACCTTTCTTATCATGCATTCCTTTCTGGACACATAATCATCAAGCTTATAGCATATCCATTGCAAAGGGACCATATTTGAAACTTTACAATACAAGAAGAGTTGCATAAATTATTCAGAATTTGCAAAAAAAACGGTCTCAGATTGTACGTTGTGGAATCTTTGACATGCTTCTCTGTTAATTATCCGGATTTTTATTATAACTTCAAGTATATGTCCACAGAGTGAAAAAAAATAATTTAAAAACATGGTTAAAATGAACTGTGATTTTTGTTATAATATTTCATAAAATGCTGCAAAGGTTATTTGTAATTAATCTTACTTGCATTGACACAAAAAATGCTTATGAATGATTTCAATTTAAACAAATTTACCTCCTATTACAGACATAAATAGCTATTTGCCTTTATTGACTTAAGAGTAAGATTTTGTATATAACAAGAGCTATATGTACATGTAAATAATCATTCGGTGTTATTTAAATATCCTAATTTAAATTGTTAAATGTATAAAAAGCAAGAAAATCCAAGTACCTACTTATATGTGTTCATTTTATTGTAAATGCGCTGGCTTGAAAGAATGTTTGTCAGTATATGTACCGAACTAAAGAAAAACGTAATTTGACCCATGTCCTGCTGAATTTGTATATTGGATTTGCCCGATTGAAAGAATATTAAACCCGGCGTCCGTGTCCCACTTTGGTTTAGTATTTGTGTGATGAAAGTTGGTATCTCTAAAACTACTGAAAGGAACGGCTTGAAATTTCACACACTTATTTAAGAGCATAACAGATGGTCACTGTTTAAGGTCCATAACGCTAACCTGGATTTTGACAGAATCATGACCCTTTTCTTCAACTTTAAGAATTCTACATTATCCAGGCACTTGTTTAACAATCAAGAACCATGTAAACCACGCAGTTCTGATGACAGCTCTTGTTGAAGGAACAGTCTATTTAAAATTAATGGGATGTCAATGTTAAAATACAAAAATAAGCGGGTTCTATAATTGTGATAAAGGCTTTTAGCTTGCGGTTCCTGCAGGTTAAAGGTTAGTAACCCCGTTGATGCCTCTTTAAATCTGCCAGTATGTTAAACTTTAGTTACATTTTTGTAGTTCGGTCAGTGTAACTTTATACTTAACAACGAATTATTCGATATTTCCTTTTCAATTTGTATTTTGTCTAATTATATCATAGTATACTATAGTTATTGACCATGTACAAAAAGTATAATATCATTATTGTTTGACCATGTACAAATGTAGTATATCATTGTTATTGACCATATACAAATGTAGTATATCATTGTTATTGACCATATACAAATGTAGTATATCATTGTTATTGACCATGTACAAATGTAGTATATCATTGTTATTGACCATGTACAAATGTAGTATATCATTGACCATGTACAAATGCAGTATATTATTGTTATTGACCATGTACAAATGGAGTTTATCATTGTTATTGACCATGTACAAATGTAGTAACACTGTTATTGACCATGTACAAATGTACAATAGTATAACACTGTTATTGACCATGTACAAATGTACAATAGTATAACACTGTTATTGACCATGTACAAATGTATATAACATTGTTATTGACCATGTACAAATGTATATAACATTGTTATTGACAATGTACAAAGGTGGTAAATCATAGTAATTGATCATGAAACATATCGCTGTACATAGAATCTTGTTCAACGACTTGATTTTACCTCGTCTTTTATTGTATATAAATCATGGACATACAATGTATGTCATGTGATTATGCAAAGGTAGCTTAAACCTTGATTTACTTACATTGAATGACAATATTTGAAATTTATAAACCAGAAACAGTATTATATAACTACCTTTTTACTATCCTATCTGTATTTTTGTCTTAAGATTTTATTTTTAATATCATATAACGAAATTAAATCCTTAATTGGTGCGTGCAAATTTCACAAACCTCGACGCGTTATGTATCTTATATATTTGTTAAAAGCGTTTACTTCACAAAGATTGCATTGCACATTATAAGACATTTATTGACGCTTGCATGAACGTGATCATAATTAAACACGTAAAATGACGAAGTATTCCGAATTTTCACGAACTAGTTTTTGGATATTATTTGTTAGCATTTGCAGCGAACTAATTCATCATGTTTGGCTGATGGAAGCAATTTTTTTAGATATCATGTGTCTGTTAACATGCATAAAAGAAAACTTAAAAAGGAAACTTCAAAATGTATAAAAAAATGTATAAAATTCAGAAAAAATACATGAAAATAACTGACGATTAAAAACGTTTAATCATCGTTTTTGGTGTGATTGTTTAGATCATACAGAATGTATTTAAGTTCGATTGTGTAGGAAGATATAAGATTGTAGATAAACTATTTAATCCGTTCCTGGAACCAAATAATTTTAAACAATATTTTCAAGATTCTTGCTCAAGGAAATATCTGGTTTCCCATAACAGGGTTTTAACTAACGCGGCTAGCAGTCCTTAGATTGTTTGTCCGAGGCGTTACTGCTTAGTCACGTCGCCACAAGTTTTAATACTTACGTCCAATATGGAACAGTTTTCATTTATTTAAGTATTCGTTAAAATTTTTTAAGTTATAACTTAGCATAACATGGTTGTTCGAGAGTTATTTAAATGAAATTGTTGCATGGTTAATACATGGTAAAAAGGTAAAAAATGAAGCCTTTGGATGTTTGAGAGTCAATATTTATTTTTTTTACTGTGGTGTTGTGTTTTTTTTTGTCAGTTGAAGATCCATCTTTTCTTATATTTAAATACTGTTAATATGCATAACTATTTGCTTAAGTTTGTCGAAATGTAGAAAATTTTAATACAAGTGATGTTCTATTTGCTGTTTTATAAATATGTAAAAGAACCATTTGATCTAACGTTGTGAAAATTAAAAAAAAAAACGTTTGGATCTGTATGAAAAGGGATTTATTCACACAGCTTATACATACTTCCGTTTCCTTTTATTCACTTCTTTCCTGTACCGGAAGTTAAAATGAAAGCAGACAACCTATGACCGAAAAAAATCATAATATAAATGTAAAAGACTCAACTTTACCCAGAATGCAACCATTTAAATCATGCCTTGATGCCTTTTAAGGATCCTAGTATTTAGATTAACTTTAACTGATAAATATAAGAAACAAAATAATTAGATTCCAAACATGTTTATTTCATCATTTTTTTATTACAAAACATTCTTTCTCTTGTTATTTGTGCTTAAAAGTCTTACTTTTATTAAAGTTAAGCAGCGTGCTTCCAGATTTGTGTTTACGATTCTTTTAATTGTTCTTATTCTTTTGATAAAAATGATATAACCAATCTTAAGGCATATATACAGAGTAAAGATATTGCCTGTTAATTTATTCAGAAAAATGTTTTATGTCATTAGTAACGAGTAATGATTTTGATGATAAAAATTAGTAAATTATGCCATAATTTGCATTGTACTTGAAAATTAAAAGTGTTATTTATACAATATAAATTCTTATTTTTAGGATTGTTTTATTCATCTAGATACTGTCGCTTTTATACATAATCATATTCTTCTAACTTAATTGACATATGAATACTTACTATTCTTTTAAACTTATTTATACGAATTTATTTTAGTTCGTTTGTGTTGAAAGCTATAAGCTTATAGAAACACTCTTGAATCCGTTCCAGGAACTAACCTGTACTTAGCACATAGAACATAAATGCCTTTAGTAATGATTTAACCAATTACAAAAGGGAGGATTATAAGGCAGACCAAAGCAATAGTTTATTTTGACATATTTTTTCATTGCTCAACATTATACACAATATCATAGTACATTGATCAATACAATACATTTTTCATACAATTCTCATACAATAAATTATTTATATATTAAATTGAAATACAATATCACGAAACACGTTTAAGTCGAAATTTGTTATTTCAAACCAATGATATTATTGTTTCAAATAAACAAAGCATGACAACAAAACTTATAAATATTATCTTTTTATTCTTGATTATTCTTTTATTATTACTGATAATGCTACAAAGTATGTTTATATTTAATTTTCATAAAACTTTTTCTATCAGATGCCTCGAGTTAACTTTCACCTTTGAGTTCGGGGCATCAAAAGGTGCTTTTTCCAGTGATCCTATGTTGCTTGATGCAGTGGGGCTGCGTCCTGTGAACGTTGCTCCCTTTTTGTCCATATCAGCTCTTCTCAGATATAATGCTTTATTAAAACAATTATTACCTAACTTAATGATTAATTTTCCGTCCTTTATTTTGTGATATTCTTTTTTAAAATGCTTGATGTATCCCGCTACAATTTTGAATTTTGCAAGGAAATAGAAGGATAAACAATTGTAAAAGATGTACAGAAATCTTAAATCTTTCAACATCCTCTTGGAAATTGTTCTTGCTTGTAGAATTATGTTTTTAATGATACAAGAAAAAAGATGGACAAAAATATACCATGTACAGAAGTTTTAAAATTTTCAAAATCCTCTTGATATTAATTAAAACTGTACTGGATCTTCAAATCATATGCAAAATTGACATATTATTTCCCTCAGTTTTAATTAGAAAGTATAAAGTTGGCCGAATAAATAATCTAAGGAGATATCAAATAAATACAGTTGACTCTGAATAAGTGAAACTCGCCTTACTCAAAATTCCGCGTAAGTCGAAGAATTTCTAAAGTCCCGTCAAATTTCCTTCTTTATCTGCGTACTTTAACTCCGCCTATGTCAAATTTTGGCCTTATGAGACTCCTGTTTAGTCGAAAGGAATGTTTGGTCCAGTATGTATAATTCTTGAAGCTATATTAAAATATTAAATGATTAAAATAGCTTATAAGCTAGTGAAGAGGAGACACCGATTGAAAATGTTTAAACCTTTTATGTTCCTCCTACTTATGTTAAACTATTACTTAACTTAAAACTTTAAATGTAAACATGTGTAATAGCCTGTCACTTTTCTTGATCTATTGTTTTGTTTTTTTACTTAAAGGAACATAATGCGTCAGATATTCATGGTATTTTTATTCTTTAGAAATATCAAACATTAGTTTAATACTATTATAACATTTATTTTAGAGCATGTTAGATATTAAACAACTTAAGAATGTGCAGTAATGGGTTGTAAAGGTTGCAACATGTAAACAAAGTAGTATTTTGACTTCCATACAAAATACTTTTTCAATATAATCATACATATTTCAAATAGAGCAAAATACAAAAAAGAAGTTCAGTAATATATCAAAAGACTATTTTATTTTTTGGAAACTGTAACAAGATACCAAAAATGAAAAAAAGTTTTTGAGAAATAAAAATGAGATCATATCTGAGGCATGATGGGCCTTTAAGATATAATGTATTATTTTACTTATTGTATAATTAATACATTTCACACACATTTTGATGTATTAATTTTTATTGTTGATATTAATGTACATAATAAAATTGAAATATTTAATAAATATATTTACATAAAATACTCTTGTTTTTATCTTGTTGTTTTTGTTTTCAGATGCATATTTTGACAATTGTCTACATGTTACATATTTTTAAGGAAGGAAGTTCTCTGTCTAGGTTTGTCAGTAGGAAAATTCTCCATCTATGTACACAATCAATTTTCTGAAGGAAAATCCTCTTTGTATACAATTTGTTTCTAGGAATGTCCTCCGTTTTTGTAAACACTTCGTCAGAATGAAGAATCTTCGTCTAAATGCACACATTGTCAAATGAAAAAGTCCTACATTTATATACACACGTTATTCCACCTATGTACACAATTTGTCAGAAGGAGGAACCTCTGTCTATGGTCGAATTTTTTCAGAAGGAAATATATTCCGTTTATGTTCACATTTTTAGAAGGAAGATCTTCTGTTATGTTCACATTTTTCAGAAGGAAGATCTTTCCTTTATGTACACAATTTGTCAGAAGGAAGATCTTCTGTTTATGTACACAATTTGTCAGAAGGAAGATTTTTACTCTATGTACACAATTTGTCAGAAGGAAGATCTTTCCGTAATGTACACAATTTGTCAGAAGGAAAATCCTCCGTCTATAAATACAGTTTATCAGTCGGAAAATCTTTCACCTATGTACACAATATGTCAGAAGGAGGGTTCTCAATTTATGTACACAATTTGTCAGAAGGAAGATCTTCCGTTTATATACATATTTTGTCAGAAGGAGGATATTCCGTTTATGTACACACTTTATCAGAAGGGAAATCTTCCGTTTATGTACGCAATTTGTCAGAAGGAAGATATTCCGTTTATGTACACAATTTGCCAGAAGGAAGATCTTCCAATTATATACACAATTTTTTAAAAGGAAGATCTTCCATTAATGTACACAATTTTTCAGAATGAAGATCTTCCGTTTATGTACACACTTTTTCAGAATGAAGATATTCCGTTTATGTTCAATTTTTTCAGAATGAAGATCTTCCGTTTATGTACACACTTTTTCAGAATGAAGATATTCCGTTTATGTTCAAATTTTTCAGAAAGAAGATCTTCCGTTTATGTACACAATTTGCCAAAAGGAAGATCTTCCAATTATGTACACAATTTTTCAGAAGGAAGATATTCCGTTTATGTACACAATTTTTCAAAAGGAAGATCTTCCGTTTATGTACACAATTTGTCAGAAGGAAGATCTTCCGTTATATTGTCAATTTTTCAGAAGGAAGATCTTCCGTTTATGTACACA